CCCTCCCTCCCTCCCTCCCTCCCTCCCTTCCTTCCTTCCTTCCTGTGTGCCAGATCCGAAGGAGTGTCAAAATAAACACAGTGCGAAGGAGCATGTAGTCAATGGGTCAGTGCTGTGAGGGGGTAACTAACTGGGTGTTTGGTGAAGGCAGAGATTCTGCCCAAAGTGCAGCATCAGGAAAGACTCCCTGGACGAGGAGCATTGGGGGCCTCTCACTGGCAGCAGCTGGAAGGGTGGGTGTTTCAAGAACAGCACAGGGGAAGAACACAGCCAACAGCTGTGGAAAGCAAGCAGTTTTGAGTGGGAGAAGGGCACAGCTGTAGAATAGAATGGGAACAGTGAGCTCGGGTCGAGGCTGCGCAGAGCCTCGAATGCCAAGCTAAGGAACTTCTTGGGTAATGGAGAGCCATCAAAGGATTTCTAATAGGGGAATGTCATGGCCACAGACATGGCATTAGAAGGAGGGAGACCACCGCATCCCAGGGCCTGTAGGGCGGAGGAAAGCCATGTGGAGGCAGCTGACTCCGATCCTAAAGCAGGTGTGTCTGAAGGCTCTGAGACTCTGAGACAGAGTGGCAGGTCATTTAGGGAGCGTGAAGACCAAGAAGAAAGACGGGGGGCGGCGAGGGAAGAAGTGGATCCTGGGAAATAATTCTTCCACCAGAAGGGGAGAGGGGAGAGGACAGAAGAAGGAGTAAGAGGGAGGAGGTAGTAAGGGAAGAGCACCATCATTCCTGGGGACAGCCAAGCAGACCAGGAGGGCCCAGAGAGGTGGACCTGTGTCAGCCTGAACAGCCGAGATCCCAGGGGGATGGGCGCAGCGCCTGGGAGCCCAGACTGCCAAGTGAAGGACTGTCTGCCTGTAGCGGATGTGGACACCCCGAGAAAGTGAGGGAGCAGAGGGAGGCCGAGTACTCCGGGGGCCCTCGGGTTCCAAGGAGGAGCCAGAGGACTCGGGGAAAATTTAGGACTTGAGAAAGTCCTTGACATTGAATTGTGTTTCAAGTCGGTTAAAGGGAAAAGGGTGAACAGCCCGTCTCAGAAGGGGAGGGAAGAGGTGGAGGGGGCAGAGATCAAGCAGGGGTGCAGGAGGGGGTGTGTGGTTTCGAATATGTCAGCTCAGCTGGAACCTGCTAGCACCTTCTCCCAGCGGGGCACATGCTGTCAAGAAATTCTATGAAGAACAGCTTTTTGAGGAGATTTATAAGGACCGGGCCCTTCACGAGAGGGCTGGCTGGTATTTAAAGGACAGATGGAGTCAGAGGAGGGGTTGTTGCTTGCTGGCCCAGGATAAGCACAGGAGAATATCTACTAAAGCAGCATATCTGAGGAATCACGTGCATGAAGCAGGCTCATCTTTCATGGAGGAAAGCAAGTGAAAGTCCTGACATAATGAGGAGTTTAATTAACGGCAGGGCCCTTTCGCTTCCAAGCTGTACTCCATCCACTGGTGAACAAACAGCTTGTCTAAACAACCTTCCCTCCGGCCAGGAAAGCCCATCATTCATGTTTTGAGCCTTTTCCTGTTTGAAGAGTTTAAAATAGGGGCGCCTGGGTGACTCAGTCGGTTAAGCGTCTGACTCTTGCTCGGCTCAGGTCCTGATCTCAGGGTCATGAGTTCAAGCCCCACACCGGGCTTCGCGGATTGGACTCTTTCCTGGGCCTGGAGCCTTAAAACAAACAAACAAAAAAACCCAGAAAAGTCTAAAACAGACTGGATGGTGATCGGCAGCATACTTAGAACCCTTCCTAACCCATCATCACTCACGTGCCTCTAAAGCCCAAGGCAGACCTGCAAGGAAATAAAACACAATGAAACAAACAAACAACCCTGCTGTTTCACACGAGCGTAATGCAGAGGTGTTTCTAAAAACATGTTTTAAGAAAGAGTTTACTAAACCTACTTAACACTGCTGACCTGTATGCTTACAAAAGGCTCACAGGGTAGATTTTATATTATGTGTTCTTGTCACAATTAAAAATGAAAACACTTTTGGGGCGCCTGGGTGGCGCAGTCGGTTAAGCATCCGACTTCAGCCAGGTCACGATCTCGCGGTCCGTGAGTTCGAGCCCCGCGTCGGGCTCTGGGCTGATGGCTCAGAGCCTGGAGCCTGCTTCCGATTCTGTGTCTCCCTCTCTCTCTGCCCCTCCCCCGTTCATGCTCTGTCTCTCTCTGTCCCAAAAATAAATAAACGTTGAAAAAAAAAAATTAAAAAAAAAAAAATGAAAACACTTTTTTAAAAGGAACTGACCATCCAACAGGAAGTTAGTTCGGTGAGAGGGTGGGTTGGTCCCCAGATAACTACTGAAACAGTAGAGGAAATGAGACACCCATCAGAAAAAACAAATGGCCAGCCTATTACTCTTCTGAAACACGTCCCCAGAACCGACTCTGATGTAGGAGGGCAGTAGTGTGTGTTTAGGTTTGATTTCAGATTTGTCTGGTGACTGTGGCAACAGGAGCCAAGGGATAGGAAGGAACTAGCTTTATCAGAGGTCTTCTCCGGGCGAGATGTTCCTCGTGTGTTCTCACTTGTTCTTGCCAGAAACACTGCACGTTAGTTTTATTATCCCCATTTTACAGATGAGAATACTGAGTCTGAGAAGTATTCTAGAGACGTATTTTGTCTGCAGGGACTTGGTGCAAACCTCTGATGCTTCTGCCCATCCCATTTATCCACGTGGTTTCTGCTGGTGTGGTTTAACCTTGACCAGAAGTTAAGGGCAGCCTGGTTCTTGCTTAGGTCATGTTCATATCCTTCCTGTCCTGCAAGGAGAACTCCCCTGATGTGCTGGCCTTGTGATAAGGTGGAGGACAGTGACCACTCCTTCGACAACTGGGCCAGGCTCTGTTCTAGACGCGAGACTACATGTAACAATTTAGTCAAGACCTTGGCCTTTAAGAGTCAGGATATACCTGGGTCTGGGTCCAGATTTTGGTTCTGCCATTTCCTAGCTGTGTGGTCATCAAAAGGTTCTGGACATCTCTAAGCCTAAGGTTCCCATCTGTAGAAAAGGCAGAGTTATAATCCCTTCCTAATGGGATTCTTGGATTAATGGAGATGAGTTATGCAAAGTGCTTAACAAGGTTGCCACAGAGTAAGTTCCCAGGAAATGGAGCTCTCAGAAAACTATCACCCCTTCCAACACTAGTATAAGCTAGGGATTATTATCCCCATTGTGCAGATAAAGAAACTGAGGCCTGGGAGACTCTTTCCCTGTCACGTGATTCAGAAGTGGCCAAAGGCTTCTGATCTCCCCACCTGCTGCCTGCAGTCACGTTCAGTGAGTGAAAGGAGCTGAGCTCCCTGCTTGTGGAATATTCAGGAAACAGACCCTTGCATCCTGACACTGGAAAGTTCAGGAGGTGGCCCAATAGTTACCCCAAGAGTTCATGGCCAGGAAGCTTGGAATTCTCGGTGAAGCTGTAGGAGGACCAGCTGTGTCCACTTGACCTGCTGCATTTCCCTTGGTTTTAGGAGCTGAGTGACCAAGCGGGATCAGAGTTTGAGAACTCTGACGTCAGATGGGTCATCACAGTGCCTGCCATTTGGAAACAGCCCGCCAAGCAGTTCATGAGACAAGCTGCCTATCAGGTGAGTGTGGGGCTGGGGCCGGTGGGAGCCCAGGATGCCCGCAGTGGTGACTGTCACCCCACTCAGGTGTCCCCAGCACTCGTAGGCCTCCCTGGGAGGTAGTGAGGGGTCTCCCACTGGCGAGGGGACATAGTGCCTTTCTCCTGGGGGAGGAACGGGGGTCATATCCACAGGGGTTGGGCTGGGCTCGGTTTTCTTTCTCGTTTTATACCTTCTGTACTGCAGACTCCCCAGGGCTAGGATTTCAAAGTGGGGTGCCGAGACATTTCTCTGTGGGTGAATGGAAGTGAGAACCTCAAGGAAGAGGCTTGGGCAGCAAGAATGTTTGAAGAAGAAAAGAATAAAGACAAGGCCAATGGCCATGAACCAGGCACATCAGGGCTGCTGTGGAGGTTGAAAGCTGCACGTCCGTGGCTGGGAAATAAGGGAAACATGATTGTGTTCTGCACATTTCACCTTGGGAGCAACACAGGAGCACACACAGGGGGCCAGGGGGTGGTGAGGTCGCCACACCTGCGTGGTGGCAGGCACGTGGATGACGGGGCGGCACGGCTGAGCACAGTGCCAGTCAGCACCACGGCGCCGTGGACAGAGCATTCCAGTGTCAGTGGCCAGCCTGTCCCTCCTGGGCGCTGGGGCATCACTGGTGCCGTGGACCTGTTTGCAGGCAACCTGTGCCATGACGGGGCTGCCACCAGGGTCTGACTTCATGCCAGGGGTGGCTGGCCGTGCTGACCCGCTGTGCTGACCCACAGGTCAGAGCTGGCTCCAGCTGTACCTAATCCCCTGGGTTAATGCAAGCCCACCCTGGGGCCTGGGCCCACTCTGTGCAGTGAGAGTCCATTTCAGAACCTTCAATTGGAGCTGGGCTGGGGAAAATCACGAAGGGAATAGATGCCCCTTCCCCAGCCCGGCCAATACCTCCCAGGGATCAGCCATCTTCCCCAGGGGATAGATCTCTGATGTTGAGTTTGTGGCCATAAGTAGGAACCTTTCCTTCCGAGTAACCCACTGGATCGACCTTGAGCACCGAATGTAGCAGAATGGTCGTGGGTACCATGACACCTTCATTGGGGCCATAGATTGTACTCAACACTTGGAGCTTTACTCCAGGTGCCGGACAGAGATCAAGGGAGAGCAATGTCCCCATTCCTCAGTCTCCCCACTTCTCTTTCTTCCCTCCTCGCTGTAGGCTCTCCCCTCTGCCCTCCCCTTCAGCGTGAGAATCTGGCCCAGCCTATGTATCTTCCAAAAATAGATTTGTTTTTATAGGGGTGAAGGAAGAGGGTGGAAGTGGCAGAAAGAGGCAACTTCTTTAAAAAGGAAGAAACCAAATGCGGTTTAGCTGTCCACAGAAACCCTGGGCACCCTGGAGCTTTTCCACAGCGTCAGCCGTCAGGCCGTGTCCGGAGACAGGACGCGGGGACACAGCTGTCGCACAAAGGCACAGCCCTATGTTCTCAGTTTTCACAGGGAGGGTACTCAGGATTCGTGACTTTGACTCTCGTTTTCCCACAGGAAAACTTCAACAACAAACATGTGACCCGGAAAAGGGTCAGTTCTTATTTTTAGCCTGAAAAAGAAAGAGGTACAAGGACTGCAGACTTCTCAGGGCTGCTGGAGCCTTGGGCTGGCTCCTGCCTCTCTGGGCAGTGAGGCCTGGCGGGGAAGCCCCTTGCATGCCCAGCGGGAAGGAAACCAGGCACTTGGGGGTGCGGTGCCCTCCAGGGTTTGGCCGAATCAAAATGGCACCTCAGAGGGTAGATGATAGATCAGCAGCTCCTCAGAGGGGTGAATGTGACCGGGTTTATGGACGTGGGGCATCTTCTTTCTGAAGCCCAGAGACCCACTGTAGACAGGCCTATCCTTTGGATGCTGGCTAACTTCTGTCTGGTGCAGCGTGTGTGCGGCTCAATCTTTGGCTCTGTGTAATTCTGATTAAAGAATGACAGTTTAGGGGCACCTGGGTGGCTCAGTCAGGTATGCGTCCGACTTCGGCTCAGGTCATGATCTCACAGTCCATGAGTTCGACCCGCGTCGGGCTCTGTGCTGACAGCTCGGAGCCTGGAGCCTGCTTCGGATTCTGTGTCTCCCTCTCTCTCTGCCCCTTCCCTGCCCGTGCTCTGTCTCTCTTGCTCTCTCTCTCTCTCTCTCAAAAAATAAACGTTAAAAGAAAAATTTAAAGAATTACAGTTTAAAGTCACTGAATGGATTTCAAGACGGCAGGGGCCATTCAATCATTCTTTGTTAACTCATTCATTTATTCATTAAATCCATACTGGAGGACTTCTGTGTGATGGGACGTGGTCGACACTGGAGTCATATCCTGTATGACCAGGATAAAGGCCCCGCTCTCAAGTGGCTCACAGCTGAGTGGGTCAGTGAAGCCTTTTGTACTTTGGGAAGTGGGGCGGAGGGTGTTAAAGGGGCACAACTGCTTTGCCAACTAGTCTATGGTGTCTTTAGCCTGTCTTCTGGAAGAGTCCCCATGACAAAATGGAAATGAAGTGTGGCCAAAATTGGCATCTCTCCAGTTCTCTCTTCTTATCCTCCATTAATTTTACAGAACAAGAAAAATGTGTACCTATGATAGTTAATTTTATGTGTAAACTTGACCAGATATGCAAACTGCCACGTTTGGTCAGACATCATTCTGACTGTTGTTGCGAGGGTATTTTTGAATGAGATTAACATTTAAATTGACTGACTAAATAAAGTAGATTGCCCTTTGTAGGATGGGTGCGCCTCATCCAATCAGTTGAAGACCTGACTAAAACAAAAACTCCCTAGAATAAGAAGGAAACCCTCCTGCCTGCCTGCCTTCAGATTGGAACACTGTTTTTTTGTTTTTTGTTTTTGTTTTTTGCTTTTTTTTCCCCGCCTTTGGACTCAAACTGAAACATCAGCTCTTCCTGGGTCTTCAGCCTCCTGGCAAGGGAACTATATCATCAGCTCCCATGGTTCTCCAGCTTGCTGACTGTAGACCTTGGGGCTTGTCAGTCTCCATAATTGTGTGAGCCAATTCTTCATGAAAAATCTCTTTCTATGCTTACAAAGATCCGACTGGTTCTGTTTCTCTGGAGAACGCTAATACAGAACATGAGCAAACACCGCAGTTCTTGGCCAGCCAGCTTCTGAGATCTGAGAATGCCCACCCAACCTTTCAGCCAAAGTGTTGCCCACCAGCCTGGCTGCAGGTGGAGGGCTGGAGGGATGAGGCAGAATGGTACTCCGTCAGGGCAGCTGGACAACTGGTCACATCTACCCTGCTTGCATGCAGGAATCGGAGTCCCTCCTTCATGCTGAGCCCAAGTTCATGGCACAGTCCCGTGGGGGCTGTGCTTCACCCCTCCACTGGCCTGGGCGGAGGGGTAAGAGGCCCGGATGCAGAGCAGGTGATGAGGCTCTGCTCAGCATTGTGGATGGATGGTTCTGGGGCCTCCGCTCAGAAGTCTGTGATTCAGTGCTGGGGTTGGTGGGGGACCGCAGAGCACTCTATGGATACCGTTTTATCCGTGAAATGCCCAAAACTCCTCTTGTATCAAATGCTTGTCGAAAAAGTGGGTTAAATCTCTATCTTTTATAATTCGCAGCCTCAGGACACCTTTAGACTCTCTAAGAGCATTCTGTGAACAGATGGTAACAGGAGGAACAGCTGATTCCTCTGCTGAGGCCTTCGGAAAAGACCTAGAATAGGAGAGAGTTCACTGAGTCTTGAGGGATAGTCATCACGCATAGGAAATAGTCCAGCTGATTTCTAGAGGCATTTTGCCTGAAAAATGCATGACGCTAGTGGGTTCCAGCAGCCTGTCAAATAAAAGGTGGTCCCTTACGTACGATGAGCTCACCTAACACGGAGTTACAGCTTGCGCTGGCTTCCTTTCCTTGAACAAACTGCAGTGAAAAATAATCACATCGGGGAAAAAAACCAACAGCGACAGCCCATGACACCCGGAAGGGGTGCGGCTGGAGCCCGTGCAGCTTGACGTGAGCCCAGCAGGGCACCCGCCTGGTCTGGCCATCCTCCACGGCCGTGCACATGGTCAGTCCCTGGCGGGTTGTCCTGGCTCACGGCGGGGCTGAAGGGGAGAGCAGTCAGTGCAAACACCCATGTCCTGGGCCCCCTCGTGCATGGTTTTTTCACACACCTGTTCCTCCCAGGTAGGGCTCACGACCAGGAAGCAGTGCTCTAAGAACGACTACAGCAGCGGTCCTACCGCCCCAGATTCGTGCGGGAGTCAAATGGGAGGGTGCACTCTTGGCTCAGACACTTTGTTTCTAGAATCCCGGGTCACATCAGCAGAAGGCTCCCATTCACTTATCTGGAGACAAGGGCCAGGAGATCACAGAATGAAGCCTGGCTGGCGGGACATACATTCATTCATTCAGCAGCAACTACCCCCTGAGCGCCTACTGTGTGCGGTGGGGCAAGAAGGCCTTGCTGCTGCCCTTAGAAAACGTAGCATCTTGCAGGAGAGGCTCGCTATCTCTGCATGATCTGCAGTTGGAGACAGAATATGCTAGATGCTAGGCCAGCCGGGGCCCAGTGGAGAGAGAGTTCTGCTGGAACAGCAGCTGCAAGGGACCAGCTCCAGAGGCAGAAGTAGCAAAGGCAGCGAGCGTTTCCCCTGCTCTGGTTGACCTGGGCCTGAGCCCAGGTCTCCTGACAGGTGCCAGGTTGAGGGCTGCTGCTGAGAATGACTGCAGGGGTTTATATAAACCCCAGAAACTGCAACCTACCCTCCAGGCGTCCTGCCGGGAGATAAAGACATCCAGGTTTTTCAGAATCTGGAAGATCCTTTTGTATCTCTTCTTTGTCTTGGAGTCCACAGGCCGCTCGGGGACCCCTCCTGGGGAGATGGCATCTGGCAGAGCCAGCCGCCTCCTGTTGCCTCAACCCTGCAGCTCGCCACTGTGGCCCCCGTTGGGGTTGCTGGTGGGGACACGGCCTCTCACTCTCTCTGGGGAGCAGGATGGGCACTGAGCTTGAGCACAGGAGTGTGGTTACTTGTCCTGGGCCTCTTGCCAATATTACCTTTTCCTCTCGCTCTGCTTTGGGGTCCTCTGCACTTCTGCTTCCCACCTGTGTCCTCTCCTGGGTGCCGTGGGGAACCTTCTGTGGAAATGGGTCAAAGCTTTTGCTGTAGAGCCAAGGCCAGCCCAGCTGGGGAGGGACAGATGAAAGGCCTCCCCTGAGGGGTGCAGCTATGCTGTTCTGGGAAGTGTGGGGCAGTCTGTGTGTCTTCCGTGTGTTCAGGATGTGGGAGCATCATCCCAGGGGGAACCTGGATTGTGTAAGTCACACACCGGCTACACTCGGGCACCTCAAGTCGTATGACTAGACTCCAGGCTCTTTGTTCCCCTGGATGACTTTTTTTTTTTTTTTTCCTTCAACGTTTACTTATATTTGAAAGAGAGAGAGAGGGAGACACAGAATCCGAACCGGGCTCCAGGCTCCGAGCTGTCAGCACAGAGCCCGACGTGGGGCTCGAACCCACGGACAGCGAGATCATGACCCGAGCCGAAGTCGGATGCTTAACCAACTGAGCCACCCAGGCACCCCTCCCCCCTGGACTTTTTGATTCGGTTTTCTGTATGGATACTTCACTGTAAATCACAGGGGCCGCTCACAGTTTCAGGGAAGGTGTGGAGAGGAATGAAGGCATCTTGTTTTTCTTATTTTCCCCACTTGTCCCCCCACTGCCAAGCCCAGGCTCCCGCAGCTCTTCTTGGCCCCATGGAGACTGCCTGGCCGCTTGACATCCCAGTGGGACACATGGCCCTAGCGAGACTTTCCTCCTTGCCTCCACCCTTGGGCAGGGCGCTGGTGCTCCCCTCCCCCCGCCCCTTCTTCCAGGCTGTTTTCCCTTCTGAACTTTGAAAGAGTGCCTTAAACCTTTAGGCCTAGTTGTTTCTTTGTAGTTAGTTTTCCCTTCTTCACCCTGTTTTGTGGAGGCTGGACCTGTCCGCTTCTGTTCTAGGAGGCCCTTGACTTTACAAACCCAGCCAGGTGGTGAAGTCAGTCTTCGAGAGCGGTCCTTTCGAAGGGGGCTCCTCTTGGTTTTATTTTGGATTTCTTCTGGGACCCTGGGGATTGAGGTGCGGAGGTTGCAACTTTCCTGGTGACACGTAGGTGTGTAGCCCTTGTCCTCTGTCACTGGGCACTGCAGCCTTCAGCTGTCTTGGTGTTAAGGGTGCCTAATGTGACCCTGAGGGAAAGTGAGGCTGGGGGGTGGGACTTCTAGTCCCTTGAGTAGGGAGCAGTGGGAAACCTTGTGATGCACCCGGGTCAGTGGCCTGTTGACTGATGGGCACACTGGGCTTCTTCAACCCAAGGGACCAAACTGATGGGCGCAGATGCCCCCAGAGTGGTTGGCCACAGCCGAGGGCACAGGGCAGTAAGGAGGCAGTTTTTCTGTGGATGGTGTAGGTTTTGTAGAGTCGGTCTGCCAGAAGGGGTTCTACCACTCGTGAGGCATTTGCTATCGGGAGGGGGGAGATTTAAGTCACCTGCCTGCCAATGGTGTCTCGTTAGGACACAATTAATTGGCTCATTTGGGGTATGGTTATTATGGAGAATCGACTGCACGTGAGTAGAGGTAACATGCCACGTAGTGCTGTTCCGGAGTAAATGGGTCAAGAGATTGTGCCTTTAAACCAGTTGAAGGAGGAGCAGTAGAGACACCTGGGAAGTTTTGTTCAAGGCCAAAGGCCTGCGTCCCACACCAGTACCTGGAGTTACCGAGAGCAGGAGAGCCAAGAACCAATTAAAGGAGCCAGTCTGCAAGGCCCAAGAGTGGGCCTAGGCCTGCTCGGCTGCATTTGAGCCTAAGACCGCCCGGCAGGTTTCATGTCCCGGGAAACCCGGGACAGTCGATCATTCCACTTCTCTGAGCCTTGGTTTCTTTCTGCATAAAGTGAAGACGTTAGGGGCGCCTGGGTGGCTCAGTTGGTTAAGCCTCCGACTTCAGCTCAGGTCATGATTTCATGTGTGGTTCGTGAGTTTGAGCCTCGTGTAGGGCTCTGTGCTGACAGCTCGGAGCCTGGAGACTGCTTCGGATTCTGTGTCTCCCTCTCTGCCCCTTCCTTGCTCACGCTGTTTCTCCTTCTCTCTCTCAAAAATAAATAAACGTTAAAAAAAAAAAAGTTAAAAAAAAATAAAGTGAAGACATTGGACAAAAGGCCAAGATGGCCCTTTTAGCATTTCTGATATTCTAACCTGACCCCGCCCCCCATCTCCTTGCACAATAATTGAACCTCCTAAGCCCCTTCCCTCTGTGAGTCTAGGCCGGCTCCTCCTGGTGAGAGGTCACTATGCATATGTGGCATTAGACCTTCCATCCCTGATCTACAGGTTGAGTCACTATATCTTATGGGTCTGGTGTAGACCTGGGTTCTTCTCCAAAGTGGCTAGGGCACAAGGGCAGCATCCCGAGGTTCCCTAGGACCGCTTCTCTGGTCTGTCTTGCTGGTAACCAGGACCCCTTGGGCCTGAACGGCTCCAACAAGCAAGTGAGGCCTCTTGCTCCAGTTCAAGGCCACAGGAGGTGGGCAGGAACGTGTCACAGGCCACGCCAGGCTCATTTCTCTGAGTGCCCTCAGAAGAGTGCTTCTGGAGCCCCCTGGCTGGCTCTTGTAAGGGTCTGTGACTGGAACAAGCCAGATGTCACAGAGCAAAAGCATTTCAGCTATTAAAGGGGTAAAGGCTTTGAGTAAAATAACTGCCAGCTGCCTTTTGACCCATATTCTAGAAAACGTGAGACTACGTGGGATTTCAGGAGGGCTTTCTCCCAGAGCCCTGGAGTCCTAGCGTGCTGAAGTCATGTCTGATTCCCATACAGCCAAATCAAATGCGTCCATGGCTGAGGCCCAGCCATGGTCCATTGTTTCCTAGGCCACCAAATATCGGGGTTTGCTCTTAGACCACCAGGCCCATTGTACCCAGAAGCAGACTACCTGCCTTCCATCTTCTGGTGGTTTACAGAGCTTTGGGGCCTTTCCCCCTTCATGCATCTCAGTTCTGGGCCAAGCAAGTCCCAAATGTAAGAGGCCCCATGACCCGGAGGGCCCTGCCTTTCCCAGAAGCACTCATACGTTTTCTTTGTCCACTCCGCAGTGTTTGGGTGCCTGGCTTGGGGCCCAGCACCCAGTCACCCCTGATCGATAGCGCTGCAGAGATCTATGGAGGGAATTAAGCAAGCAGAGCATGGCTGTCCCTTCCTTGGGGGTGTAGGTGCAAGGTGAGTGTCCTCAGAGCGGTACTGCCTGGGGAGCCTGGGTCCCAGCCTCTGCCTCTGTCTTCCAGGCAGGCCTGGCCTCCCCGGACAACTCGGAGCAGCTCATCATTGCCTTGGAGCCCGAGGCGGCCTCCATCTACTGCCGGAAGCTGCGGCTGCACCAGATGATCGAGCTGAGCAGCAAGGCCGCGGTCAACGGGTACAGCTCCAGTGACACAGTGGGAGCTGGGTTTGCACAGGGTACCTCCTGCTCTCTCTCTCCCCTCCCCACTCTCTCCCATCCCAACCCTGCATGTTTTGGGCCCTGATTATTTAAGGCATTTAGCGCGGTAATGAAGAACCGAGATGTTCCCAGAGGGGTCGGCTGTGAGCACGTCTGTTCTCAGCGCCCCCTCCGGGACCCCTCCGGGGCCCCTTGTAAACTCCGCAGTGGTCACCCGGGTTCATCACCTCCCACACGTGTGCCTCAGGTGTGGGAAGGGTGCTTCTCTCCAAGAACCGGAGAGATGGCCCCAGAGCAGCTCCTGGTTTTACATTTTACTAGGCTTTTAATTTTTCTTGTTTATTAACTGATTCTTAATCTAATCCCACTTGGCCTGTTATTAATTCCCCCATTAAGGCTGTTGATTTATTGCTGACTCACTCCCTGGGGCCGCTTCGTGTGTGATGAGCTCATTATGTGTCTTAACCGTGAACCTGGCGAGAGTTTAAAATACGGATGAAAGGGGCAGAGGCTTCCTGACCCCACTGGTGCTCACGTAGCTGTGGGAAATAGTACTGCCTAGGGAGATCCAGGATGGGTATTAAGGAACTTTTTCTCTTTAGTAGTTACTTGTGTGCCAGTTGGTCACATTCTTGGTCCTAAGAACCGTCTTCCCTGGTATCCAGGGCTCTGTGAGTCTGTCCAGGGCCACAGAGTTTTCAGACATCCTAGGTCAGGGTCAGAGCCACCGACGTGAGCGAGTTTAGGCATTAATCAGAGCGCTGTGAGTGCCGTTTCCAGGTCGGGGCCTCGAGGGCAGAAACCCACCCATCACCCATGCCCACCCCATCCTGAAGGCCCTGGAAGGGAGGAGGAGAGGGAGAACGTTAGCTAGAACTGTGGCCCATTGTCCCCCGACAGCCTGGTTCCGAGTTTTCCTTGCTCCCCACACCCAAAGCCTGTCTCTGTACTGCCCAAGGCACTGGGGCCCTGGCTCAGCCTTTGCAGGTGTGCATCCCTGCCCAGGCCCTGGGTCCTCTCCTCCAGAACTCTCCTCTTCCTCTTCATGGGGGCCACTCTGCCCCAGAGGCCACCACTCTGCATTTTCAACCCAAGATGGAGGAGTCTGTGAACCTCAGCCACGAGACAATGGCCAGGCTGCTGTCTCAGGCTGCCGGGGCTAAGTGCTAACACCTCAAGACCTGATTCACCCGGAACAGAAGCAAGCAGGCTCTCCTTTGACTCCGAGGGCTCGATTTGCTTTTTCTGGGCAATGCTCAGCCTCCACCGAGGCATGCCGCGGCTGGCCTTACTGCTAACTAAGTCAAATGTGTTAACATGTTACATACTCAGCACAGCCTATTTAATTAAATTTTCGTCTTCATCATTGTAATTGGAAAAGAGACGCATGACTGACTGGGCTTCATATCTTACATGCTACTTCCTGCCAGTTCATAAACAAAAATTCATGTCAGAATTAGCTAGTTGTAGTGCGGCTCCTAATGCTTCTGAAGTGTAACATTCGCATGGAAGGGGAAACTGGTTTTGAATGCTTGCCTTCCCCGAGGGCTCAGGTTTTGGTTCCCTTTCCTTTAACATGGCCTGTCCACCCCACACTGTGTCTGTGTCCTGTGCCTTGTGGGATTTGCTCTTGTCTTGTGCTCAGAGGGTCTTTTTGGTTTTTGAAATCCTCAAATTGTTGGCCACCACCCCTCAGAGGGGCAGTGACACAGGGGTTCTGTCTCAGCCTTGCTTTACAGTTGGTCTGTCTCCCAGAAGGAAGGGGTGCTGCCTGGGGAGGCCTGGCAGAGCACTTAATCAGGAGTACCCTGGATGGCATTAAGGCCCTGAGCCCTTCTGGGCTGTTCTCTGCCCTCAGATGCTCCTTCGTGATGGGCGCCCCATGGACACTACTGACGGGAATGGGGATGCCACTGTGCCCCCAGCACCGCAGGGTTGCTGTTAGCATTATTTTGCACCAAAAGGATTTCATGAGATCAGTAAAAGACACATTTTTCTTAATGTTGGGCTTAATTTGCCCCAAAGTGTGATAATTTTTTTGAGAGCTCAGAATATGTTTTATTAGTCTTGCTTGGTCTTTTTTTTTTTTTTACCGTTTATTTTTGAGAGAGAGAGAGAAACAGAATGTGAGCAGGGGAGGGGCAGAGAGAGAGGGAGGCACAGAATCTGAAACAGTCTCCAGGCTCTGAGCTGTCCGCACAGAGCGTGATGCAGGGCTTGAACTCACAAACCGTGAGATCATGACCTGAGCTGAAATCGGACGCTTAACCGACTGAGCCACCCAGGTGCTCCTTGCTCGGTCATTTTTTAGGACTGCCATTTGTTAGCCGTCTAGATTGTTTTAGCAAACCAAATGCCCCAAACAAGGTCCGCGATAGAAGTTCATGGGGAGCCAGTGCTGGGAACAGGAGTTTGGGGATCCCTCCCAGGTCTGCAGGGACTCTTAGATCCGAGGGCCTCACCACTGTACTCCAAGGCCCAAGGAATTCAGAGCTGACAGGCACTTGGCATTCTAATCCCCAGGGAAGACATTGTTTTGCAAACACAGTGCTCCTTGCTAGAAGAGGCTAGAGGGTCAAGGGTCCTTAATTGGATAACTAACAACAGACGGATTTATAAGGCACTTCCAAGTCAGCAGCACCAGTTGAGGGACGGGAAAAATTGGTGGGGGGCGAGGTTGTGGGATGGGGCAGCAGAGCAGTGGACAGAGACTTTATCTGTGAAGTTGGGGGTTGCTCTAAGTTGTCCACTGTAGTGGCCATTTCTTGGGTAGCAGGTCTCATACTTGGTGCTTTGCCTTCCTTATCACCTACTGTGTGCTGGGTGTCACATTGGGTGCTGAGGAAAAATCGGAGAACCAGTCCCTGCTCTGCTGCTGAGGAACTGAGGCCAAGTGTTATTATCCCCATTTTATGGATGGGGAAGGTGAGGCCCAGAGGGGTTAAATGATTTGCCCCACTTCCCACCTCGGCTGTGCCCTGCTGGTTCCCAGCTACCCTCTCGCGGCACCTTTCCCATCTCCTAATATTCGTATTCTGCTTTTCCAGATTTCAGTGTAAATCGTTAAATCCCAAAGGCATGAGGGTCCATGGCCCAAGGGTTGATTTTGAGCTGCAAGACAGACTCGTGGGAACTGCAAGTCCCTTAACCTTGTCTGACCTGGTTTCTTCCTCTGAACAGAAGGATGATGATTTGTGCCTTGTCTGCCTCACAGAGCTGTCGGGGGGCCTATGAGGGATGCAGTGACCCCACCCAAGGCGTCACAGCCCCTCAGCGCCCTGGGGCCACAGCCATGTTGTTCCCCAGTGTTAGGAAAAAGGTGGCCAGGGCTTTGCTAGGTTTGGATGGGCCACCTGTGGCTGAAGCGCCACCTGGTGGCGGAAGAGCACATTGGCTTCACCCAGGTCGAGGAAATGGCTTCCATGCAGTTTATCCAGCATCCAGATTAGGAAAACATACCCGACATTCCTTGCAGCAGACAGAGTTCCTTGAGGTGAAATTATTTAACCAAGTGCACTGCAAGCTTCTTGGCAGACAAGTCCCTCCCTGGGACAGCAAAGCCAGGAATTTGGTTGATTTATTAACCCTTTACCCCAAAAAGTGTCACTGCGGGGGAAGGGCTTCTCCAGGGTGAGCCTTCCAGCAGGGTACAGGCCCAGCTGCCATGCAGTGAATAGACAGGCGCTGGTGAAAATGGTCTGGCTCTGAGGTTCCCAGTGTTGTGTTTATGTAATCATTTTGGTCAAGTATTGCTACACGTTCCCTCCCTAAACCTCACGCTGTTGCCTCTGCTGACTGCAGACGACTGCCAGCCTTTTCATGCTTTCTCACCCGTCCTTTTCTTTCTGTCGGCCACTAGCTAAGGAGCACATACGGCGTAATCGGCAGAGTCGGACCTTTTTGGTGGAGAATGTCATAGGAGAGATCTGGTCCGAGCTGGAGGAAGGTAGCGTCCTTGAACGTCCTTTGCCCCTTGCTGGATGCGTTTTGTGCTGCTGGCAAAAATGCATTCCTGTTTGCTCCTTTTGCATTTCTGGAAAATGTTCAAAATCGGTTGGTTTTAAAGACCACTGCGCCAAGGAGAACTTTTTGGGGCCTATAAGTTTGCATGTTACAAAACCATACAGACTCTTCCGAAGAAAAGCAGGAACTGGAGCTCCCCAGTTCCAGAGTAAGTCTTGGGTTAAACAGCAGGTCATGCGATGGCAGGACATTGTCCACTCATGCCTGCCAGGTCTGCAACAGCTTTAAAGATTCACTCGTCTGGGTTCTTTATCGCCATGCTCACCGGCGATGAGCACTCCTGGGCAGACACTACCCCGGTCTCTTCCGTCGGGAATAACTTGCCGAGCGGCTAATCAGCGACACCGCTGTATTAATGAGAAGCGTTACCGGGAGTTTAGCTGGGTATACCGAGTCATCACCCCCCAGCTTGTTTCAGGATGGGGCCGACCAGCGGCCGATGTAAAGGGTGGATGTTTTTAACCAGGTGACAAGTACGTGGTTGTGGACAGTGGCGGTGGCACCGTCGACCTGACTGTCCATCAGATACGGCTACCGGAGGGACACCTTAAAGAACTGTATAAAGCAACAGGTGAGCCCCTGCATGACCGATTTTCTCCTTCCTGAGCTGTTTCTCTCCTGTCCGATTTCTCTTGCTATTTCCTTCTCTCACTGCTGTCTGCACGTGGGATTCTAGGCCCTGAGGGGTACGATACCCAGATGCTTGTGTGGGGCCGGAGAGCAAGATGCAGTTAAATGCTCTTCAAAACACAAACCACCGTAGGGGCGCCTGGGGGGCTCAGTCGGTTGAGCGGCCGACTTCGGCCCAGGTCATGATCTCACGGTCTCTGGGTTTGAGCCCCGCGTCAGGCTCTATGCTGACCGCTCAGAGCCTGGAGCCTGCTTCCGATTCTGTGTCTCCCTCTCTCTCTGCCCGTCCCCCACTCATGCTCTGTCTCTCTCTGTCTCAAAAGTAAATACACATTAAAAAAAAAAAAGTTTTAAGACACAAACCACCGTAACTTGGGTTTTGGCATACAATGAGCCTGTTTTAGATCCTGGCCAAGGGAGTTTCTTTCTGGAAGTTCTGGAAGGATATGATTGTCATCTGATTTGTCACCTGTGTTTTAGTGCCACGGTTAAGCTTGCTAGGGAGGTCTCGGGACACCCGGTCTTGGATCAAAGTTGCCAAAGCAAGCAACAGGCTCTCTCCCTTGATGGGGGTGGGATGATGAATATGTAATAGATCACAGAGTCTCCTCAGTAGGCCTGCTGATTTTCCAGACCCTGTCCCTGGATTTCTTGGGTAGGAATACCGCGATGCTCCTAGTTACTTATGTGTATCAATTTTATTTAAAATGTAATTGATTTTAAGAAGTTTGTTGATGAGTGATTCTGTAGGGGAAGGTCTCTGCACCTGGAATGAGAAGAACTGGAGGGTTTTAAAGCTTAAGTAAAAACCGTAGCTGCTGTCCGTTTGCTCACTGAGCCCAAGTTCGTGCGACTTTGTGTTTCAGAGAAGAACGCAGGGTAGGATGTCTCTCAGAGTCTGAATTCAGTTTTCACACGGCGGGCTCTCATTTTGTGCTTGACTCAGGTGGACCCTACGGATCCTTAGGAGTAGATTATGAATTTGAAAAACTTCTGTGTAAAATATTTGGAGAGGATTTTATCGAACAATTCAAAATCAAGCGTCCCGCGGCCTGGGTTGACTTAATGATTGCATTTGAGTCTCGTAAGAGGGCGGCTGCCCCAGACCGAACTAACCCACTGAACATCACCCTGCCCTTCTCCTTCATCGACTACTACAAGAAGTTCCGTGGCCACAGCGTGGAGCACGCCTTGAGGAAGAGCAAGTGAGTGGGATTCACCTTTGGCTTAGGCCATTCTAGGGGGTGGATCCTACCGAGGGGAGGGAGCAAGGGGGTGTGGATTCTGAGTTCCAATACTACACACAAGCTGTGTGACCTTGGCCAAGTGACTCACCTTCTCTGTTCCTCAGTCTTTCGTCTGGAAAATGCAAGCGATCATTCCACTTACCTCAAAGGGTTGTTGTGAGGATAAAGTGAGTTCCAAAGTTAGACACTTAGCACAATGCCTGGGACCTGAAAACTCCTGTTTCTGTGTTAGCTTTTATTATGTGCCAATAACCATAAGCTTTGTGAAAGCAGGGAATTTTGTGTTTTTGGCCTCTGCTGTATCCCCAGCATCACAACAGAACCTGGTACAACGTAGAGGTGCTCAGTAAATATCTGTTGAGCAAAATCCCATGGGGCTCGGAGTCTCTTGGCTACAGGCAAGTGTTCGTAGCTCAGCTTATTGCAAAATGGACATTTGGAAGCTGTGTGAAAGCTGAATGACAAATTGATAGACAAAAATCACAGGCTTCTAAAAATCTTTTTATAGCAGAAGATTTCAAACATTCACTGTGCAAAATGAACCTCATGACACAACTTCAACAGCTGTCACCTCCTGGCCAGTCTAAATCCTCGTGCACACTCTCCCAAGTATTTTAAAGCAAATCTGATCATCATCTCATCCATGAATATGTCAGTAGGTATCGCTAAGATAAATTTAAAATCATTACCATAATGCTGTTATCACGATCACGCTTGACACGAGTTCTTCAATATCCTCAAATTCCCAGCTAACATTACAATTTTTCCAACTGCCTTATATATGTTTTTCAGTTTGTACTGATATCCAAAAGATGGCTCTCCATAGAGGTTATCTGATAGGCCCCTAAGTCCCACTTACTATACGGGTTCCCTCTCCTGTGTTTTCTTTACAGTTTATTATTAGATGACAAAGCTGATCGTCCCATGGAGTTTCCCGCAGTCTGGGTTTTTTGTTTATCGTACGCTCACGTAACGTGTTTGGTCCCCTGGTATTTTTGACAAATTGGCAGACGGAGCTAGAGATCTGGTCAGGTTCAAGTTTGAGTTTTTGGCAAACCTGCCTCATGGGTGGTAGTGTGTCCTCCTCTCACATCAAGTCAGGGAACACATGCTATTTGCTTGTTGCTTCTTTTGTGATGTCAGCAGCCACGGAGGGGAGTTGCCTAGGTCCGTTATGTTAAGGGATAGCCCCTTAGTCTCTCACTCTGTCTCCATTTGTCAGCTAGCCTATTTCTGGAGAGAGAAACTCTTCTCAATGGTTTGATTGCACTGAAATACATTTCACATAGGAAAGACAGGACAAATTTTTGGTTCTTTCTTTTCGTTTATGAATTTTTTGTTAAATATTGTTGATTTCCTAGCATTCTCCTAAGTGACAAATGCATTTTTTTCTTTTGTGGGGGCAGAAGGGGGTATTATTAAGGCTTCGTGGATTTAGGCATGTTTGACGTATTTTAAACCATGGCAGTTATATCCTTAGTGATGGTCAAAATGTCCCATCTTGGCCAGTAGGAGCCTCTTTAAGTTGGCTCCTGAGTCCCGTTGATGTGACATTTTGATCTGACTTCTGGCTCATCTTGTATATTCCCCATCCCAGATCTGCAATCGGCCATTTCTCTAAGAAGCCCAGGTTCCATTTAGTGGGAAATGAAGTGGATAGGATTGTAGGTCTTCTTGACCTTGGAGCAGGTCCCTAGCCAGACTCTGACTAGGCTCATGTTCTCTCTGTCCACTGGCCCCCTCCCCACAGGCACCTGTTCCGAGTCTAACCCCAAGTCCTTCTCCACAGTTCTGCGGCCTGTCAGCTCTCCTGGGGAGACTGGCCACAGCCAGCCACGGAGTCATTCCATGCCACACCACATTGTCCTGTGGCCGAGGCCACAGAAAGATGCCTGGTCAGGGAGACCTGGCAGCACCTAGAATGTGAGGCTAGGAAGCGGCTGGTGTGTGCTTCGCTTCAGGGACAGAGATGCCATTTGCTTGGCTTCTTTGAACTTGAGGATGGGTGGGGCACATGCAGTCCCTGGCATTCCTTTAGTGCCAGAAAATTTCCAAAGTGTTTTCACAGATGTGGTATTGAACTTGATCTTGACAACCGCTGTGAGAAAGGTAAGACGAGTTGTGTTATCCTTGATTTCCAGACATGAGACTGGGGCTCAGACAAAATGCAGGCCAGCTTGTCCCAAAGTCCCGCAGCCTCTGAGTGGTGGAGGCCGTCCCGGAGCCCAGCAGTCCTGGCTCCTTGTCTGGTGTTCTTTCTGCTCTGGATGTGCTGCACCTTTGACAGAGAAAGGGGCATCCTGGTAGGACGGGGCTTCTCATGGTCAGGGGACAGGTGCCTGCAGGGCTCAAGGAAATGCACTTGAGCACACAGGTCTGTGGCCAGATGCAGCAGCACCATGGACACAGCATATGAGCCTTCAATGGACTTGAATCCGACTATCGCTTGACTATAAAATGTGGTCATTCAAACGAGACAGACCCCTTCCCTTCTTTCCCTGTCTTTTGCACTAGATTTCGGCTTCCACTATCCCAAGGGAAGGCTGGCCACAACACAAAGCAAAGAGAAAACCAAGAGGCTATGTCTTAGCTTTTGAGCATCTAAGGGTCTGGGTTGTGGCAGTCGAAGGTATTTCCAAGGACTTTCAAACCCTTCGGTTCCCTTAAATGTGACAGCTGTTCTGTTCTGTCAGGGGCCGTCTCTGCGCACAGTAGCCTGGGTCTCCTCCATACTCTCACTTCTCATTTCTCTCTGTGCCACACCCCCACAGCGTGGATTTTGTGAAGTGGTCCTCGCAGGGGATGCTGAGGATGAGTCCGGATGCCATGAATGCCCTTTTCAAGCCAACCATTGACAGCATCATTGAGCATCTCCGTAAGTATGAGCCAGGGCTCGGCCACTCAGTGGGGCAGAGCTGAATGGGGACTGACTTTTCTGGCATGACCAGCTAGAGCATGTGAGGTCAGACTGGCAGGGGGTCAGGGGCTGGGAGCCACAGGCTGGGGCCTGGGCATGTATGTGGGAGGTTGCTGGGCATAGGCTCTCCAGATCCCTCCCCTCAGGTACCGCACAGCAGCCCAGAGCCTGTCTTCACCTGGGCCTTGAGTTTGGCTTCGAAAGTCAGGGAGCCGGGAACTCTGCAGCAGTATTACCCTGGAGTGACAGGGCCTAGGGAATGCGCAGTCTTTGCTTTATCAGGATGCATGGGGAACCAAAATCTTTGCTGGGGAGGGGGCACACTTACGTGGACCAAAGAAAGGTCTCCTGGGAGGGAGCAAACAGAATCTAGCCCTCAGGGGCCCTCCCTCAGGGACACACAGTAGACTCCCCGGGGACCTTTTTCAGTATCCAGGCTCCCCATTCACTTCCCACCCCACACTGACTCAATCAGAACCTCTTTGAAAACCAAAGAATACTTTTTATAACAGCCTGCCTTGACTTAGTTAGCAGGACCACAGGTTTGGAGAATGTCAGGAATATTTATTTATGCCTAACAAATTATTCCTTGAAACGATCACCACCTAGCTGTTAAAATGTTTCCACTTAGCAATAGCTTTGGTTTTTATCCCTGAGCATATAGGTGTGCAAACCCCCTTCTGAAGACCATCTCTACAGGGACACCTGGGTGGCCCAGTTGGTTAAACATCCAACTTTGGCTCGGGTCATGATCTCACGTTTCATGGGTTCGAGCCCCGCGTTGGGCTCTCTGCTATCAGCTCAGAGCCTGCCACAGATCCTCTGTCCCCTCTCTGCCCCGCCCCCACTCACGCTCTCTCTCTCTCTCTCTCTCTCTCTCTCTCAAAAATAAACATTAAAAAATTCTTAAAATAAAATTTAAAAAATAATAAAAAAATAAAATAAAGGCCAGCTCAAGAAAAATTCTGTTTAGCCAGCTCAGACAGGTCTGAGTGGGCCCAGTGGGGCCACATGGTTTTGTCTATTTGCCGCATTCTTAGGCCACCAGTACCCCTCAGCAGCTGGCTTTTGGTGATAGAGTGCTGTCCCTTCCTCTTTGCTTTCAGGGGACCTGTTTCAGAAGCCCGAAGTGTCCACGGTCAAGTTCCTCTTCCTGGTGGGAGGCTTTGCGGAGGCGCCCCTGCTGCAGCAGGCGGTGCAGGCTGCCTTCGGGGACAAGTGTCGCATCATCATCCCCCAGGACGTAGGCCTCACCATCCTCAAGGGCGCCGTCCTCTTCGGCCTGGACCCCGCCGTCATCAAGGTGCGCCGGTCGCCCCTCACCTACGGGGTGGGCGTGCTGAACCGCTACGTGGAAGGCAAGCACCCCCCCGAGAAGCTGCTGGTGAAGGACGGCACTCGCTGGTGCACCGATGTCTTCGACAAGTTCATCTCGGCCGACCAGTCGGTGGCCCTGGGGGAGCTCGTCAAGCGTAGCTACACCCCGGCCAAGCCTTCCCAGCTGGTCATCGTCATCAACATCTATAGCTCCGAGCACGACGACGTGAGCTTCATCACTGACCCGGGGGTAAAGAAGTGCGGTACCCTCCGCCTGGATCTCACAGGGACCAGCGGCACAGCCGTGCCCCCCCGGAGGGAGATCCAGACCCTCATGCAGTTCGGGGACACAGAGATCAAGGCCACAGCCATCGATATAGCCACCTCGAAGAGTGTCAAGGTTGGGATTGACTTCTTAAATTACTAACGGGCCCTCCTGCCGCCTGCCCCGCCCTTGGACCCGGCTCACCTGCATCTGCTGACCTCAACCCTGACTGTTCTTTCCCTGTCCTTGACCCTCAGCATCACCCACCTGGATTTCAGCAGGGAAGATGGGAACCACCAGGGCTGGAAATAATCAGGGGTTTTCGAGGGCACACTGGAGTCAGAACAACTGTCGGAAATCGAGACTGAGGTTTGGGAATAAGAAATCCGAGGATCCTGGGAGAGCAGCTCGTTTTTATAGGTACAAAGTGGTGAAACCCGCACCCGTCAAGGGAATCGGTCCACTTCTGCAGCTGCGACTCAGCTTGCTTTGAACGCATCTCCGGTAAGCAGGACTCAGGATGCCTGGTCGCTGTCTTTCTAGGTTGGATGTGAGATCTCTGCATCAGGAGGAGATTCTTCATCTATTTGAGACGTTTCTTTGTACGTTTCTTGGGGGATGGCAGTCAATATAAAATGCCACCCATCTGCAGTTAATTTCTTGTCATCACCATGTGATTGAATGTGGTGATTCAGCAGGAGCTTGGAGCATTTTTAGCTGGTAGGAGAAGACTGCCCACGCGGGGCACTATTTTAGGTTCTCGTAATTTGAATTCTGAATAGGTTCAGTGAGGAGTAACGATAGCCAGCTAATCGGCTAGGATTTGAGTGAGTGGGAGGACAGACACCTTAACTTTTCAGCAGGTGAAGACTTGCTTTGAGGGAAATGGACATTAAGGCACTGCTGACTTCTCCCGAATCATATGCTGCGACATCGTTCCCCGGATACCAGATCCTGACTCCTGGGTTCATAAGTGATTCGAATTAACCTTAGTAGACTTCAGGTGTCAGGAAAGGAGCCTGCAGTCTGCGTTGTTCACATCAGCAAGCCCAGGATCTGGAACGGCTCCACACCTCGACAAGCGTACATGTTTTAAACTAACTCCCTCCTCACCGTCATCTCCCAGAGCGTTTCAGCCACGTAGTCCCACATTTCAGGAGGAATACACTCGCGATACATGGGTAGAGAATCTGCATTATGAAACGTTTCCCTGGAATCTTCAGTTTTTTTTTAAGTGTATCTACAAGGAATTCCTAGATCTGTCCTTGATGAATTCAGTCAGGTCTTTTTCAAAGCAGATTGACCTGTGGATCGCCCTCGTGCCTGGCCGCTTCTTAAAAGTGGGTTCCTGGAGCCTATTCCTTTTACAAATGGAAGCTGGGTCTTGAGGAGGGGGACCAGCGCCTGCGTTTGCAGTGGATACCACGGGGACTGTGGTTCCAGGGGAGTCCGGGAACTCCTGACTTCAGGTTTTGTTGCAAGCTGAAATCCTGACCACCAGCACCTGCAGTCTTCCAGTCTGGGGCTCCCTGACAGACAGACAAGTGAAGAATCGGGGTCTCACACTTTGCCCTTTGTGAGCGAGGCGGGGGCTCCACCTGGCTTGGGGGTGGCGCTCTTGGCGCTCACAAGAAGGGCCTGTGAGGGAAGAAGGTTGGAAGGAAGGCACCCTGCGAATGGCCCGAGGGACCCACTGGCTTGTCTGCTGGGACTCATTCTGATCTTAAATCACCGGAGGCATGCATAACGAATGAACGGAAGATGAGCTAAGGAACTAACTTTGAATGCAAGCTGGATTCACCCACCCATTCCGTCGCCAATACGCAGATTTGACGCCGCTTTTCCAATGTCATTTGAACACGTCTTCTTGTTCACGTGGCCTGCTGCAGAATTCCCTGCTCGAATATGAAACTCGAACAAAGCACCGAACTGGAGAACGCTGGTCACATAACTTAGTAGCGGGATCTCGTGTCCAGGCATCAAGGTGTGTTTGCTAGGCTTCTCTTCTGCCTGCTCTGCTTCAAAAGCTAAATGTTCTGGGTCTTTCTTTGATGTTGCCAGCCATACTCTACAAATAAGACTTTTTGATTTAGTTATAAGTAATATAATTTTATGTACATACAATATTAGAATATTGTACAGAATCTTTATTTCTACAATGTGCTTTTCTTGTCAAAAAAAAAAAAAAGAAAGGAAAATGCTCTTTGAATTTTATTGATGACATTGCTGCCTTTTCATTTCCATGGCTTTATTTTTTAATTGCGCTTACTTATCGATCTGTACCGATGCTAAGCTATGGACCGTGTATGCAAGGCCAAGCAATAGTCACAGGTGCCAAGGGTCAGAATACTCTGGAAAAAGGGACAACGGCTGGATCAACAGCTTCGTCAGACCTTGCCTCACTTACATCCTTCCCAAAGGCTCACGGTTTATGTTTAAAGGAGCATAATAATGTATCGATGCTCCTGTCCGGTCTTTGAGAGCTGGACATTCTGGTTCTATAAGCAACAGGACTGTGCAGAAAAACCACCGAAACCTCTTTGCGTCCCCGCAGGGCTTATCAGCTTCTCGTGGGGCAGGGCGGTCACTCTGAGGGCAAAGTGGGGTCCGTGTGCAGCACTGTCAGGATGACAGGGTTACACGCAAGGAATCGTGGTGCACAAATCCAGCCTTTCTGCTGGATTAAGTGTGAAAGTAATTGGCCACTGTAAGGCCGTCCCACCTTTGCATCAGGCATGTCTCCTTGTCTATGATTTCTCTTTAGTGAGTTGGTTGAAATTTGCACTCTTGGCAAATACGTGATGGAGAGGGGGGTGATAACTTTACTGGACTTTCTTCTGGCCCCAGCAGTCGACCCGATTAAAGGGAATCCCCAAATCCATCCCCCCTCTCCCTCCCGCCCGTGGAATGACATATTCTAGAATAAGAACACTGGATGAATATGCTTGGACACGTTTTCTAATCTCAGAGAGTTTCTAAAAGGCCTGTTGTCATGACCGTCACTCAGATGTCCCTGTCCCTGGTATCTGATCATGTTTTGGAAGCAAAACTGTCAGAGATTTCCTTTATAACTGCCCTTTCTGTACACAGCAGGCATTAATAAATGCTGAATGACAGACCAGTGACAGACATAGAAGATAGGCAAGACAGGAGACATACAGGCACTTTTGCAGAGTGATGACTGAGACTGAGTCCAGATTACAGAGCCTGCCCTACCCCTAGGATGTTATTTAGATCAAGTTTAGCTTCTAGAGTCTAGGACTGGTTAATTGCCAGGGTGGCAAAGAATCGCATGCCTCAATATAAACGGGAGTCAAAATGCATAATTAGTTGAAGATCGAATTTCACAGTTGTAGAGATGACATCGCTGTGGTCAAGCTGCATATTTATGCTGGGAAATGACTTAAGTGGATGACTAGTATAAACGTCGTTGTCCGTTAGGTCACATCTCTCATCTGCTTGGACTATGGAATTTCATTCTAAAATATCAGCCACCGGGGTCTCATTCATTCACTACAGGATAAATTCACACTCCACAGAACCTTGCAGCTGTTCAAACTTGACGAGATTGTACCTGCAAACTCTGTCTTCACGGATGTCTAATAAAGCCAAACTCTGGATCTCTTGTGGCCCAAGTTGGTTTTTTTTTTTTCCACTATGAATTTGTGAATGGACTTATAGATGCATCATCGCTGACTTCCCCCTCCACCCCATCTCCAGTGGAGACTAGTTTTCAGATCTTGTCCTCAATGTTGCAAGCTTTTTAGCTTTTTTTTTTTTTTTGAATTAACTTTCATTCCAACTAGACTGGCTCCATCCATGTTCGTGGGCCCCTAGAGAAAGTGGTCTAGCCAGACAGAAGGCAGATGAGCCAGGGGGGCCTCTGACATCTCCACCACACCCAAATGAAGGGTGTTGAAAAAGAAGCAGAGGGGCGCCTGGGTGGCGCAGTCGGTTAAGCGTCCGACTTCAGCCAGGTCACGATCTCGCGGTCCGTGAGTTCGAGCCCCGCATCAGGCTCTGGGCTGATAGCTCAGGGCCTGGAGCCTGTTTCCGATTCTGTGTCTCCCTCTCTCTCTGCCCCTCCCCCGTTCATGCTCTGTCTCTCTCTGTCCCAAAAATAAAAAAAGAAAAAGAAAAAGAAGCAGAAATGTCTAGAACTGGTGCCTTGCCCTCTGCTATCCTAGCAGGCATGCCAAGCTGGCTGCTGTGTCTAGAGCCTCAAGTTTATTCCAGGCTCTATGTCTGGGTTGCCCTCTAGAGTGGGCTCTAGAAGCTTCTGGAGAGTCTGCGGTGGACTCCTAGGATGCTGAGGGAGGTCTACATGGATTCTTCTTAAGTGGTACCTCATCTAAAGTTCACCTCCCAGGAAGCAGAGGCAGGGAAGGCTGGGGGATGCTGTACAACAAACCAACTTACCTGAAAGTGGTGTTTTCGGTGGCCACGTTTCGGTTTTCTCAGGCAGTCTGGAAAGGTCCTCATTCCCTCTATGTGGGTCACACACTGGGCATCTTGGTTTCCATCCAATGAGATGAAGGCTCAGGTCCCCTTTAGTTCCCATAAAATAAGGACGATTAGAAAGGAGTGTGGCCCCCACTTCCCTGTCACCACTCCCCCTTCATTTTGGTGCATTGCCCCTTTCTGCAGCCCTACCTGTCCCAGGGGGGCAAGGGTGTCAAGGGAAATCTCCAGCCACGTAGGCTTCTCCTCCCCTCCCGGGCTGCTTCCCGTCCCCCCGCCAGTCCCTCACACAGCCCTGACTCCTGGAGGAAGTCCCCATTGAGACCACCGGGCCCCACCCCAGACGGTGCCACTGTCTACAGCAGTAAAGGCAGCTTTGACCTAGGTCCCCACACGTAGCGCTCTCCCCAGTTACAAAGCCCAGAGGGGCTCAGCTGGGGGGAGATCACGTACCGAGAACGAGATAGGAGAACAGCTTCCGAGACGAAATATTTACTGCGCCAAGCCTGGATTTCATGCCGGGGGCCGACGCTGAGCCTGGAGCAGGGGAGGCATCCCCCGCATCCGCTCGTGTTCATCCGTGTTCATCCGCGCCCCCTGGCCTGTGGGCCTGAGGTGAGGTCGTGGGCAGGAGGGTTGAGCAAGGGGGAGGGGCATCCAGGAGTCCGGCCCCTCCTCCCCCACCTTCGGGGGGGGGGGGGTGCGCGGGGGTGGGGGGGTGAGCGCACAAAGGCCAGAGGGAAGGCTAAGGCCAGGAGGGCTGTTGGCCGGTGGGCAATCCGGGCCCGCCCAGGTGAGGACGTGGAGTGGGCCGGAAAGAGGAAGTGGGGGGCTGTGACCTCGCTTTCCGACCCCTTCCCGGGCCCCCACCCCCAGCACACCTCCTCCCCACGCCCCTCCTCTCGGATTTCACCGCTCAGAGGAAGCCGCCCAGGCCACCACCCACCTGCGCCAGGTGCGGCCCACAGGCCAGGGCCACGCTTTGGGGTAACAGTTACGCTATAGAGGCCCTCAGGGTTTAGATGTCCCTCCTCGGACCGGACAACCCTCAGACAAGTTACTTAGCTTCTCTGCGCCTTATTTTTCTCATCTGTAAATGGGGCACTCCCATGGGAACTCACCCTTAGGGCAGCCGTGAGGATTTGGCAAGAATACCGTCCCGGGTGCGCTGTGTCACAGTCAGTGTTCTGCAAATGTCTGAGCGTGTTCGAAATTCCCATCACTGCTGCCTAAACCCTGACTGTGGCCCTCCCCCCGAGACCATGTGTCCTGGCGGTGAAGGCCTCACTGTTGAGAAGTGACCTGCTTGGCATTGTAGCACTGGGCAACATCAACGGATGCCCAGATGCAGGAGCTGTCCCTTTTGAGGGGACCCAGGCCATCCTGGAAGAGGGCGGGGGTCTGGCTGGGGGGGCAGCATCCCATCAACATGCTGCGGTGCCCCCCGCCCTACCTCTGCTCACCCATTCTTGGACTCTGTGCCCATCTTTGGGGACTTCTGAGCCCTTCCAGCCAGGCCTTATTCGAATTCTTCATTGTTTAGCAGCATCCTTGGCCTCTAACTCACTAGATGCCAGTAGCACCGACCGCATACCCCAGTTGTGACAACCAAAAATGTCTCCAGACACTGCCAGGTGTCCTGAGGTGGCGTTGGGGGACAGCCGAAGTCACCACTGCCACCTTTTCCACCTGGAACCACAAAGGCCCTGGGGCTGGGGGTGCTTCTTCTCTTCCCTTTTCTGAGGTTCCGGAGTTGCACGTGGGGGCTTCTGGGTCCCGCTCAGCTTTGTATTTCTAACCTCGTGACAGTTGTTGGCCACAGTGAGCGTACAGTTCAAGATTGCTGGATGGATGGATGGATGGATGGATGAATGGATAGGAGGTTGGGTGGATGGAGGAGGTCCCAGGAGGGGAGACACTGGGGGAGACACTGGGGGACATGTAAAAGGCGAACGCCCCTTGGTAGTAGGCCACTGGTTTTATCTGCTGGTTCTGTGTTAAGATGGTGGTGCTGCCTCCCTTTCCCAACCCCCCGGTGGGGTCATTCTCCTCCCAAGGACTCTAGCACACGGGTGAGTTCTTGAGGCTGGGACATTCGATTAGATCATTTCATTCCCTCTGCCCTTCGTTAACAGAGAGTGAGATCATGGAGTCTTCCTCCAAGACCTTCATGAGACACCTGCCAGTCACACCAGGCTACAGTGGTAAGTGGTGACGTGCCCTGCCGATGTGCCCGGCAGAACCGTGGTCCTGCTCACCGTCCCTGCCTTGGTCCGCTGTCCGTGTCTTTCTGGCCAGTTGGGCCAGTACAGACACGTTGGCTTCTTTGGGACCCTTGCGGAAAGCCCTCCTTTGCCCAAGATGGCTGATAACGGGGTTCTGATGAATGGAGAGATACAACGTAGGCCAGATCTCCCAGGACATGGCCTCGTATGCGGGAAGCACCGAATGTCCCTTGAGTGCATTTGGACCAGGATAGACACACTGCTAAGGGGGCAGACACAATGAATAAGCTGAGGCCCTGTCCTTTTTCCCCAAGTCAAGCTTTCTCAAGTGTTGCACGAGGGTTGTTCTTATGGGCCATCCCTTCCTGTGTCCCCCAGAGGGAGAGTGGTCAAGTGCCCCGGTTTGTCTGGAATGGCCCTGGTTTCGGCACTGAAAGTCCTGTGTCCCAGGAAACCCCTAAGTCCTTGTCAAACAGGGCTAATTGGTCATTCTACCCAATAGTGCTTCTCCTCAGGCTTCTGGGCTACGGGGGACTTACCAAGTCACGTCCCTGTGACAGATGCAGTGGTCCTCATGGGCACTCCGCTCTCACAGATAGGTGTTCTTAGGAGAGGAGATGCACGGGGAATATTCCAAGGTGCCCAGCCTCACCCCTTATCCCACTGGCTGGTTAAGGGAACAGGCTTTGAGTTCTAACAAACTGAAGTTTCAGTCCCTGCGTGGCCACCGTGTGTGTGATTGTAAGAGTACTTTCTGTGGTAAAGTATAAGTGTCTATTAAATGGGTATATTCGTTTCTTAGGGCTCTGTTTATTTTTTAAAAATTCTTTAAAAACACCTTATTTATTTTTGAGAGTGACAGAGTATGAGTGGGAGAGGGGCAGAGACAGAGAGAGACAGAATCTGAGGCAAGCTCCAGGCTCTGAGCTGTCAGCACAGAGCCCAACGTGGGGCTTGAACTTGTGGAACACGAGATCATGACTCAAACCAAAGTCGGATGCTTAACCGACTGAGCCACCCAGGCGCCCCTCTTAGGGCTGTGTGTGAAACAACAGATACGCTCTCACAGCTCTGGAGGCTAGCAGTCTGAAATCCAGGTTTGGTTGGATCATGTTCTCTCCGAAGGCTCTAGAGGAGGGCCCTTCTTTGCTTCCAGTTTCTGGTGGCCCCCGCTGTTCCTTGGCTTGTAGCATCACAGCTTCAATCTCGGCCCCCATCTTCACGCTGCCCTGCATCTCGGAGTCTCTTTCTCAACCCCCTCTCCCTTCTCTTATAATGGAGTGTTTTCGACAAGTATCCTAAGAAGCTAAAGTGTCTGTCCTGGCGAGTCAGCTGGCCAGACATAGACAGTGGACTAAGGCAGAGACAGATGGATTGAGGGCGCATCCTCAGCCAAGGATAATCTCATTTCCCAGTCTTTCATTACGGCTGCAAAGACCTGTCAGGTAAGGTCCCATTTGCAGGTCCCAGGGGTTAGGACTTGGGCACAGCTATTTGGGAGACACAAGTCAAACCTCTACACGGGATAATGATAGATTTCTCATCAGATTGTTGTGAGGTTGGAAGGAGCCAGCGCACAGGCTATTTAAGACGTCCCGGCCCTTAGTAAGACTCAGCGAGCGTAGCTTGTGGTCCCCCGTGTGTGTGCACATATACAAGTACATAAAATCTCTGCAGAGCAGGGGAAGCCCTGGTGGCAGGGCCCCTTGGTTTCTATGGTCTCTTCCCCACCACACTGGGGTATCTTTTGACTGCCCCAGGGTTGGGGACACTGGCTGGTGGGTGGAGAACTTCAAGATCAGTTTAGAAATTAGATTCTTCCAGAAGCAGCTTTTCGCAGGGCGTAGGAGGCAGGGTTTCTGCTTTTAACTCTGTGGTCAGGTTTTCTTTAGGGACAAAGGCAAAATGTCTGGGCCCCGGGAACGAGTGAGGGGTATTTATGTATTTATCTATCTAGCCATTTAAAACCAAATTCTTAACCAGTTTTCCCTCATCCGTTCTTTAGAAAAAAAAAAAAACAAAAAAAGAGTTTTATTGTGACAATATTATAGTCCCTAGGATTCAGCATCTAGTTTAAATAAACACTTGTGTTTTACCCATACTAATAGTAATGATTACATGTTATTTTGTGGGAAATGGCAAAAAATTGTTCCAGGGGGTGGGCCTCACAGATAATGAATTTACCTTTTTGTGTAATAGGTCTCAGCTTTTAATAAGCCCGCAATTTCCCTCGACAGTCTGACAAAAAAGATCCCAAATTGCATTTGGGATGTGTCAAGGAAAATAAGCTTTCTCTCTAAAAAGATGAAATAATTTCAATTACTCCTCAGACTATCATTTTGGCCCATTAAATGCTTTCCCCATTTGCTGTTCAGACTGACATCAGGGGCTTTGCTATCAAAGAATATGACTGTCATCGTCTTTGTTGAAACGGGCCGTCCCTCCCCAGCTCCGAGGTCATTTTTTTTTTGTGGCCTGGGGAGGGCCCGGCGCAGCGCAAACAGCCCCGCTTGTGTTAATGGCCTTTGGGAAAACGCAGTGTCGTTGGCCCAGGAAGAAATGCCAAGTGGCGGGCTGGGGTTCCGGGGAGTTTCTGCAGGTTCTAATTGCCTCGCTGAAGGCCCTGATGCATCGGCTCTTGCAGGCTTCGTGCCCTACCTTAGCTGCTGCCAAGAATCCACCAGCAAGGACAACATGTCCCACTGCCTGAAAACCTTCCAGGAAAGCACACAACGATATAAACACCAGCTGGAGGAGTTTCACTGCTCAGTGGCCACTGCCCGGAAGCTGAAGCCCGTTTGCTCGGAGGAGACGGTCCTGCGGGAGCTGCATCAGTATTATCGGCAGTATCACCCCCTGAGTTTGGGTACCGGCTCCCAGAAACCTGCCCCCTTCCCCCCTGGACACAAGTGCAGGGCCCGGCAGGCCCCAGGGGACACAGAATCCAGCACCCGTGCCAAATCCCCAGGTGGTGGTGCGGGATGGAAAGGCTTGGTCTCATAAGATGAGAAAGAAACGTTTCTTGGGGGGGCAGAGGGACACGGTCCCGGTCGGGCAAGAGGGTGCTGGGAACTGAGACGCCGGGCAAGTCACCAGGAGTGTTGGGACCTCACCTGCTCTCTCAGTACGTACGTACACGTGTTAGCTGCTTTGTGCTGGGCACCGTTGTTTCATGAACCGCGACGTCAGTGCTGTGACAGCGAGACTATGATTCCCACTTTAGAGACAGGGAAAGTGAGTCTGCAGAGGTGGTGGTGACCCTTGTCTGAGGTCAGACCTCGGCTCGAACCCGGCTCTTCCAGGTGCTAGCTGGGTGGGAAGGGGTTGGCCCTGAACAACAACCGCAAAAGCGATGACAGAAACAACTGACGACGTGATTACGTGTAATGCTAATCACAGCCATGATTTGCCATAGAGGCCTTAAGGTCTAAAGGCCTATAGGAAAAGTAACGAATTCCAGAACTGCCTTTATTATTATTACTCTAATTGCTTGGGGTAGCAGACTCACATGCGTGTTGTGCTTTAAAGTTTTCCAAGCCGTAACATCTGCCTTCAGAGTTTAGGATTTAGCCCAGTTCTGTGACTGTCTGCTGAGTGACGTAGGGCACATTGCTTCCCCTCTCTGGACTACAGCTCCTTCATCCAGTGCGGGGAAGGATGGACTAGAGGCTCCCTACGGTGCGCTTCCGCTCTGAGGTTCTGGGACTCGGTGGCCTAATTCTATTCTGACAGCAGCTAGAAGAGGCAGGCGGGCAGTTACCTTTCATCTCACAGATGTGAAGTCACTCAGGGTCAGCGCCAGAGTCACTCGTGACCTGAAGGCAGTTTCCTGGTGCTCAGCCTGATATGCTTCCTTCTGACCTGGTTGCTTCTCCTGATTCCTTTATGTGCACGGTCAGAGCGCAACGTGGGAAGCTTCTTGATTAATCTGAGAGAGGAGCAGGATCCGTTGAAGGGGGAGAACTAGAGAATCAGACAGACGCAGGCTTGAAGCCTGGCCCTACCACTCCCTTGCCGTGTGACCTTGGCCAAGACGCTCTTAACTTCTTTAAGGTCTCGGTTCTTCCTCTGTAAGGTGTAGGTAATTACGGTGTCAAGTTCTTACAGTTCGTGAGAGAATGAAATGGGAGGGAATTTGCAAAGCCCCTACCAAGGTGCCTGCTACTCGGTGTCGACCAACCCGCGATAGCTGCCCTTAGCACGTCTGGGGGCCTCTCGGGGTTCGCCAGCGTAGCTGGTGGGGTGCCAGCTCACTGTGTGGCTTCTCAAAGCCCTCAGAAAGCACGGTGTCTTTACAGAATGCAAACACGTAAAGAAACCTCTCCAGGAGCCTCCAATCCCCGGCTGGGCTGGCTACCTCCCGAGAGCCAGGGTCACGGAATTAGGCTGTGCCACGAGGTACGCTGTGATGGCCAGAAACTGCTACAGAGACTTCCTGGACCTCGTGGAGCAGGCCAGGAAGGCACCCCTGAAGCCATATGAGGAGTAAGTCTGGCTTGGGGCGTGGCTGCGGGTGACAGGAGCCGGGGCGAGAGCAGTTGTTGGGCTGGGGCGTTCCCGGATGCCCCATCCCAGCTCTAGGGGGCCTTTGGTTTGTTTTACAGAAGGGGCCTCGTTTGTAATGGGGGCCTTCAAGGTGGGCCGCTCCCCTCCACTCCCCACCCCACCCGCCATTTGCCAGAAGCCCCGCTTGCGGTCCTGGCTGGTTTGCAGGGCAGAGGCCGGGAGGAAAAACCAACAGGGCCACGTGTCCTGGCAGCAACCTACGGCCCAAGGGCACCGGGGGAGGGACATGGTGTGGCACCGCATAGGGCAGCTCTTTGGCCTCAGTTTTCCCTTCTGCAAAATGGAGATACGATAATCCTTTCATTTTAGGATGAATCGTAAGGACTAGAAAAAAACACGCTGTGCTCATGCAGGACGTGCAGAGATGGTATTTTTTCTATTATTAAAAAAAAAAAACGAGTAAGTCTATGACTTCTGTTCTTCAGAATATATGGAGTCGGGTCCACACAGCCTCCTTCTGCTCCTTCTCCAAAGGTTTTGCAGCACCAAGGGCTACGGCCAAAATATCCGGAGTTTTCTATCCCAGGTAAGGGGGGAAGTCCTTCTTGCCTTCCTACTCCTTTTAAAAGGGGATGAAATGTTTGCGGAGCCTCCCTGCTTAGCTGGGCCATCTGCCTGCACCTGGTGGGGATGGTCTCTCTTCCAGGTGGTAGCTGTCCTGCCCACGGAAGACCCCTGACAGAGGACCCCAGGCCTCCAGTGACGTGTGGCTGTGCCCAGAGATCAACCATGTCCTGCAACGGGAAGATTTATCTAGAGCCTCTGTCCTCAGCAAAGTATGCAGAAGGCTGATGCAGACGGCCTCTCAAGGAGAGGTGAACTTCAAGGGGGGACTCCAAAGCTCACCATTCTTACATGAGAACCAGGCCCCGACCCACACCCAACAGGCACTATGGAACTTTCAAAACCTAAGAATCCTTTCGACTGCCACCTGCACCCTGTTTGGCAATAGCAAGTCTTTAATGATAAAGGCCTTTTATTGTGTGGGAATAAAGAAGATGCTTCTCAGCATGCTGAAGGTTTCTATGGCGAGGGGGGTTGCAGGTTACGTTGACATTCAGATGAGCTAGGGAGAGGCCCATCTCATCCTTACCTTGAGGTGACCGTGTGCACCTGGATCAGACTCTTCCTGAAACCCTAGCCCAGCCTCTCACCATCAGTCCCCGTCAGCCATCTTGGGTCCTGACATGGCAGTTCCCACCAGTGGCACAGATGCCATGCCCAGCCAACCCTGCTGTCTCAGAATCCCAGTCCCCAGGCGACCCGGTGGCAGGCACGAGGTGTATTCATTTCATCGGGCTTCTGTGACACTGCCTCAGAGAGGCACCAAAAGATGACGGAAGTTTATTGCCTCGCAGTTCTGGAAGCTAGAAATCCAAGTTCAAGGAGTGAATAAGACCACACTACCTCTTCAACCTTAAGGGCGAACCCTTCCTTGCCTCTTTCCAGCTCCTGGTGGTGGTTTGCTGGCAATCTTTGGGCTTCCTTGGTACGTAACTATAATGTCTGTCTTTATCGTCCCACAGCATCCCTCTGTGTCTCTCTGTCTTCGCGTGGCATTCTTCTTGAAGGACACCTGCAAAGAGCCTATTTCCAAATAAGTCATAGTCTTGCGTGCTGGGGGTTAGGACCTCGATATATCGTTTTGCGGGGACACAGTTCAACCCACAGCATGGGCTTGCCTCCTTCTGCCACTAACAGGCACTCTCTCTGACCTCGCTCGGCATCCGAGCACTCAGAAGGCCTCAAATGCAGCTCCTGGTGCAGTGAGACCACTGCAGGCATCAAAAGGCTCAGAAATGGGCAGAGCCAAAGGACACAGTACTGTACCGTTGGGGGTTTTGCCCAGGGTGGGAATTTTCACCAGGGTTCCCTGGGCAGAAATCAGGTGTCAGATCTTTACCTCTGATGAGTCGAAAGAGCTTTGATGAGAAAAAAGTTACCTATTTGTTTTTATGAGCCTCCTAGTGGGACTCAGTATTCCCTTCTCTTATGCAACAAACCATAGCCGTACCTATCACCGTCACCTCGTCCTAATGGAAACCACAGATCTGTTGCTATCATCTGACGTTTGTTGCAAACAGCTTAAAATAATGTCAGTGCAGATCACCACTTTATAATTATGTAGTTGTTCAAGCTACTTTCTCTACCCTCCAGTATATTGTTATTCAATCTATATATGAAGAAACACACGGTGAGCTCACAAATTTGTCCTATTTAATATTTTGACCATATTTCACATAATCTCACGTATTTGACCTGCTGCATCTAAAGCGTTGTGAGAAGACGCTCACAGCTTTTACCAGACAGCCAGAGGGGCCCCGGCACCGAAATGTTTCCTTGTCCAGGGAAACAACCGAGGATGTGTGTACGGGGTGATTATCATACAAAACAAAACAACAACCCAAACCCCGTAAGGCTTGGGATTACAATATATCCCTTTGTTAAAAAATAATGTGAGAGAAGAGTACTGCTATGGACAAATATTTATAATACAGGACATGAAAAACAGGACATAAAATGTGTAATAACAGCGAGCCCACGCGCACACACACACACACACACACACACACGATGATCTTGTTTTTTATTTTAAAAACAGTTGTGGGAGGGGAGAGAATGCTAACCCGTGGTGCTACCAAATGGTTATTTGATGATATATCACTAGTTATTTTTATTGTCTTGTGTGCGTGCTTTCCAATTTTTCACAGCCAACAGGTATTGTTTTCATAATCAGGAAAAAATGTTATTTTTAAAGATCTCGGCTGTTTTCATCTTCTTGAGATCGTATGTTTAGAGGCAAAAAGCCATCTCTCAGTAGAAGGTAGCTGGCATCTTGTTCAAAGGGCTGGAAGAGACTATAGATAAGATTTTTTCCAACTTTCTTAAAACCCTGGGACCCCACTATCCAGAAAGGAAAGCAGGAGATAGATCCGTCACCTACCTGGGGCAGGTGGTCCAGCCTGCCACGCCTCTGCGGCACTCAGAAGAGAGCGACGCCAAAGAGGTGTCTTTCTGGTCACCTCTTCCAAACCCACAGAATTTGCAGATGATTGCTCTGGACTCAAAGTTATTTAGCTCTTTGCCCTTGAAATTAAGGGGTGCCAGGATTGAAATGATTCCTTGCAAGGAGCCCTAATCTTGATCTTATCTGCGGTATCATATAGCACATCAGTATTTAAGTCACTGACTAATCCATTTGGTACCACCTTTAAAAATTGGCTTCAAGTGTGAAACAAAAGCAAAAAACAACAACCCAGTGACAGAGGTAACGGAATCGAATAAAGGCAATCAAGAATTGTTTCATAGTATCTAATTCTTCTCCAACTTCGTGATTCAGATCACCAAGTTCAATGTGCAAATCTGTAACTCCTTTTGTAGAAGCAGTTCCACACTGCAATTCTTTTCCTTAATCTTTGTCCTTGCTGTTTCTCTCTAGCCTATAATTTCTGGAGCGTCATCTGTCGGGGGAGGTAGGGAGGTGATTTTACCGCGCTGCAAATTATCATTATTAGCACAAGCTGCATCCGTAATGAGCTCATTCTTGCCACTAAAAACAATTCCATTACCTGATAAGACAAATTTCCGTGGGTCTGGAGACACTGAAGAAACTGAGGGTGAGGGTTTGCATGGTTGCTTTTAACAATGGGTGGGCCTTTTGTGGGATAGTTTGACTTCTCTAGCATTAAAGTGCTCCTTTGTGGTCACTTCTTTATCTTCCTGTGTGAGAACCCCCCCAGAGGCCAGATACCGGGAGGAGATGGCCAGGTTTCTTGACCTCACTCCCCCATTCCACAGAGTAGTGACAGGCTGGCCCCAAACAGGATCTCGGTCACAGCTTTAACTTTGCTCCAGCCCAGCCACGAGGCCTGTGGCCAGGAGGTAGATCTCAAGTCTGTGTTTTTTTCCTGGCTGTGTGACTCTGAACACTTTCCTTAACCTCTCTGAGCCTCAAATTCCTACTGTGTAAAATGAAGACAACAAAACAGGCCAGTCAGTAGCGCGATTGGTTATGAAGATGAAGAGATTAGGCAGGTACATCTGGTCCACACGTGCTTGGTAAATATTGTTATTGTCAATTACCATTAAGGTAAAGGGACCCGGGAACATTGCAGATGTAGGTTGGGGATGGGGGTGTTCTGTCTTTGAGCCCACCCAGAGAATTATTAACAGAAAACGGTTCAGAACCCGGGCTCCTGGCCACTAATAAAATGCTCTCTTCCCTGCTGTACATTTCTTCCAGGGACTCTACCCCAGGAGGGAGGCAGGACATGCATGATTGGCCAATAATAAAAACAGAAGTGGCTGCTAATGTCCTTACCTATGTCAGGCTCTGGCCTAAGTCATTTGCCGGGAATAGCTTATTTAAGGAATATTATTATAACCCTTTTGCTCTTGCAGATGAATAAACTGAGGCAATTTGCTCAGAAGCACATAGACAGTAAACGGCAGAGCCAGAACTTGAACCCAGGCCGTCTGAGGCCAGAGTCTGCCCACCTAACCTTCACGTCACATTGGCATGTCCTCCGTGGCCACTGTCACAGTAAAGTGAACCACTGCTAAATGAGCCGTGGTTTCAACATCGAATCGATCCAGAAAGAAATGAGATGAGAGGATAAACGAGAAACACGAAAGTTTAAGAATGTGATAGAGCCAGTATAATGGGGCTCAGGATGTTGAGAGCCGGGCTCTGGGCGGGGGTTGGGGGGGGTGGGGGACTTCACGCGGGTTTGCGCCATGTGACTACTGGGTGATCTGGAGGGAGAAACTCGACCACTCCCAGCCTCAGTGTTCTGTTATAAAGTGATGCTTCCTTCTTCATGAGGTTGAGAGGATGAAATGGAATCAGGCACACAAAGGGCATGGCAGTGGTTTTGACGCGACTCGGGCTAACGACAAGCTGAAGGCTCTGAAAAGCGACATAACCAAATCAGGGCCCTGGGTATTTCCGTCCGTTAAGTGCCGATTTCAAAAGCGCGGAGTCCTCTCTCATCTCCACTGATTCGTGAGGTCGAGCCCGCCCACTCAGGCTCTGAGCTGACAGTGCAGAGCCTGCTTGGGATTCTCTCTCTCTCTAACACCCTCTCTCTCTCTCTGCACCCCTCCCCCACTCTTTCTCTCTCTCAAAATAAATAAACTTTCCAAAAAAAAAAAATAGGAAAAACAAAAAGGCGGAAGTTAAAAGGTTTATTTAAGGCCAGAGACTGGAGGCCCTGATCTCCCTGCCCTGCTCCTGGGCCTTGCTCATCAGCCCCTCTCCCACCCCAAGAGTTTCAAGAGCCGGGGTCTTGGCTCATTTCCCAAAAGGCCCCTGAGTTCCTCAAGCTTATTACCCCCCACCCCACCGCCCCCTGGCCTCTTCCCCAACAAATTCCCTGACGTTTCCCCTGGTGCTCAACCCAGAACCAGTGCTCCACAAGCGTGAGCCATCATCAGGTGAGACAACCCAGCAGGGAGAGTCCCCAACTGCCCCCTCCTTGAAAGCCTCTGTTTTTCAGCTGAGGGGGAGGACTTGGTGGGGAGAGTGGGGTCTACCAGCCTCCATCAGTCTTCCAAAAGTAGGCCCCACAAAGGAGGCTAATGTGTCCCCAACAACAATCCACATTCATATTTGGATTCAAACCAGATTTGTTTGGATTCTCCAAAGGCTGAGGGGGAACATGTACCCCTACCTTTCCCGATCAGCCTGGGGTACTGTCAGGAAGGGCCACCAGGCATTCCATGGCCCGAAGGAGCTGAACAGCCAGCCTCAAGGTCTTTTAGGCCTCATTTCTGGTATGTGTTCTCCCGAA